ATTGATTTTGTTCAATTCTTAATAATAATAATAATAATAATAATAATAATAATGCGGCAAAACGCTAGAGAAAAAAGGAGGCAAAACGCTGCGTTTTTGCCGGGGAGTGGAAATGTATTTCATTTCCCTCCAAAACGAAGACTTCTTTGTTTGGTTCCCACCAATTCAGGGTACAAAGCGCAAACCCTTTACTGGTTTCCTCCGCAAATCCATATTCATCAGAGCAGAAGCGCACAAAACTTCACGATGTCAAACCACCAGGACGATCTCGACCTTCTTCTCTCTCTTCAGGATAGGGTTTTGGAGACCCCTCCTGCTTCTCCCTCAAAGCCGCACTCCTATTCCCCAGGTAACACATCAGCCGTTTCTCCATATTTCAACATCCGAGCATCATACATACTCTTTAATCGATGGGTTTCTTAGATTTCAGATGGGTTTGTTAATTTTCGTTTTTTCTATTGAAGCTCTCTCTCAATCCCCTCTATTTTGCACGTTTTGCATCTGTTTATTGAGCATTGTACTGTTAGTTCTCATACATTTTGAAACGGGGTTCGAAAAAATTAATACAGTTTTTTTAAGGTTCACTTGCGTTTTCTGTAGAACTCAATCTGGGTATCTTTCAATTTCATTAAATTTGCAATCTTGTATGTGGGTTTTGTTTTGCTCATAGCAAAAGCCACATATTGTGCATTTTCTTATGAGCTAGGCTTGTAAGTGGGTGAAGCTTAATATGCCTAAATTTTGTAGGGTACTTATCAGATGATGGATCACCAAGACAAAGAGGTGATGCCGATATGTCTGTCTTTAGGAATGCTGTTCAAGATTGCCTCGATTATGAGACCAAACACGCTAAGAAAAATGTCAAATCCAAGAGCTCAAAGGATGTTCAAGTTGAGAAGTTTTCAGGTTTGCGTATAAGGTAAACCAAATCAAACCCTGATGAAAAGAAGTCTAAAAGCACTCAAATATAATGCAATTCGATTTGTTTTTCAGTTAATTCTTTTTGTTAATTTAAAGAATGATCTGGATCATATTAAGCAGGCTTCTCGTTAGTGAAAATACGCTGCCTTTAAAATTTAATTACAAGATACAGGATTTGATCTTATATTTCCTATGTCACTTTCTTCGCAAGCAATCCACGTATAAATAAATTAAATGGTAATAGCTGTGTTAATTTGCAAGTGCTCTTTCACATTGAATTTTCATGTTTCTGCTCTTGTTCAGGAACTTGTCGTTCAGCCATGAAGAGCTTAGTGAGCGTTTGTCAGACATTCGTTTTGTTCGGTTATCGACTATAAAGTATGTCATTGCATGCCATTTGCATATATATAACTGGGATTTGGAATTTTTTTGCGCCTTTT